AAACTTCACTATCGGTCCATATGTTTCAGAGAGATGAAGTGTTGCTATAGAAATTAACAAATGATATATATTACAGTAAATGGTCAAAAGTTCACCAAATGGAGCCTGTGAATGGAAAAGAAAACAACTGTTATTTTTTTTTTATAATGCATGACGTCAAAGTGGATATGTGCAAACTGAGACCATTTAACACAGGGTCCAACTTTTTTTTTCATTTACAGTTGTAATAGTTTCCATTCAGCTCCTCTGATGCAAGTTTCCTCTCTACTGTCTGCAAAGCTTAAGCTGGACCCTCTCTCACGCTCACACACACATACACGTACACACACACACACACACACACACACCAGGGTTCCCACTGTTTTTCAGTAACAAAATTTCTAAACTTTTCCATGACTTTTGCATGACCTAAAGTGCATTTTCCATTACTTTACGGAACCTACATGTGTAGAACTGATCAAACTTTTAGGGCTAAATATGAAATGTTAACCCTTTCCACTCACCTTATGGTTTGGGGTTATAGTTTTTTAACATTCAAAATACTGTCAGTGCATTTATTGTCATCTCTTTTAAACAAAAAGCGCATACGTACAGAAATAATCATAATAGCCTAACAATAACTTCACAGAACGCCATAGTTGCGTGAAAGAGATACTAAAATTCTGTGACTTTTTCAAAACCTTCAGTGAATTTACAAAATTCCATGACTTTTCCAGGCCTGGAAAATGACATTTTCAACTTTTATAGGATTTCCATGACTGTGGGAACCCTGACACACACACACACACACATACACATCCTGGAGACCGATCTTAACCTTAACCAAATTGTCACTACTGAACTTTTAATCATGTATTGATCTTGATTGAAGTTTAAGTCAAGAGGACTGATTTTTGTGTCCATAACTGAGTCAGGTCCCAATGTATTGGCTGTGTATTAGTGTTGGCACAATACTCAAACTCGATTTTAATACTAAGGAATAGGATAGATATTGGGATCTCAATTTGAATTCCGATCCCACAATGTTAATAAAAAAACAACAACACTTTCTTTAGATGATAGAATGTGATTTTTCAGCATTAAATAAAAGTTCTTTCTTTTACATTACCATGGGGTCTTATATCAGTGTAAATGTGCTCATATACTTGTAATTAATCAGCTCAAGATCTTTCTAAAACTGTTCAGGAGAGGTTCACTTCTGTCTTGTGAATGTGACTTTTTTTAGTATTAATACTTGTTGAAATTAGTATCTAGTTTCAATACTAGTTTTAGTATCAATTAGTATCTGATTTTCGACACCTTTGACAGCCCTAGTGTGTGTACAGTTTCTGCTCCCACAGTACACACACACAAACACACACGCTCCTCCTTCTGCCTTACTTAATGTCATTAACAGGTGCCTGTCCAAAATAGCCCCACAGCAGCGAGGGTTACAGACACAGACATGGTTGGGATAGTGTTGGCCGCTCGTCGCGTCATGTGCGAGGGCCACCCTGCAGCACCCCGCAGCACCCTGCAGCACCCTCCTGTGATTTATACAAGATTTTTAAACACGTCCCGTCCCGATCATATGGGCTCCGGAGAGACACACGCGCTCCTCCGTCTGCGCCGTTTGGACCAACCAGACGCGAGCCCCCTCCCCTGTCACCCCCTCCTCCCCCTCTCACCCTCCCCCCTCCCCCCACACGCCCCTCTCTCTCTCTCTCTCTCTCTCTCTCTCTCTCTCTCTCTCTCTCTCTCTCTCTCTCTCTCTCTCCCCCTGTGCGCTCTCCTGCTCGCTCTCCCGTCACTGCGCTTCTTCTGATTAAGTTTCAAGCGTCTCTTCCTTCAGAACTGAGCACCGTACGCCAATCCAGGTCAGGTTCTATCTTCTCTGCTTTAAAAAGTGTATTGACGAGTGCTTGTTTTGTCCCTTGTTTTGCTTTCCTATTTATAACAATGAGGAAAACAGTAGCAAATGTTTTGTTCAAATTCACTGTGCGTATGATCAAGTTCTACAGGGACAGACTCATGCACACATGCACGGGCTGCACATAGCTCTGCTCTGTCCTGGACTGGCTAAGCTAAACCAGTTTGTTCAAATCCATTGGTTAAAGTGTGTAATATGACTAATGTGTGCAATGCTGCGCTGACAGGACTAGATTAAGCACTCCCGTACTAAACCCATCCAGGCTAGTGCAGTAAATATTTTATGTAAAAGTTCCCAGCAGCTGTTTGGCAAAGAGAAAATGTAGTATTGGTTAATAACATGCAACTTTATTTTGGATATGGCACTTTTGCATTGATGGGAGCATTGAGACCTGCATGCACTCAAGTAAAATGACTATTAAGACTCAACAAATTTTACATTTTGGAAGAAAAACATTATGTCCAAGTCTTCTAAATGGGCCAGTTTTAACTCTATATAATCCTGGACTTAATATTTTCACTGGAGGGACATCTCTGCACAAATAACTTCTTTAACAGGAGCAATGCAAAGTTTCAGTAGTAGTGAATTAAGTTGAAAAAGACCTACAAACTTTGCAGAGAACTACTTTTTGAAACCTTGCATTCTTATTGAAGTGCATTCATAGTTTACAAGAGCATTAGTAGTTGTAGCAGAAATCATCTAGCAACAATATGAGTGTTAGTGGAAGTAACTACACAAACAGTATCATGTGTAGTAGGAAGCATGTGATGGCATATTTCAGACTGGAAAGCAGACTTGAGGTTGAAAAGTAAAGTATTTGATTGATCATAATTATTGCAAATGAGAGATGAACAGTTTAATTACAACTTGAAGCAAATTGTATTCTTCCTCTCTATTTTAAATGGTCAAAGTCGTCAAAATAGAGTGTATAACTGGCAAAGAAAGCATGTGACTGTACATAAATACTAACTGCATGGCAAATAATACATATTTCCTTGACATTAACTAACTAACAGCCACAGTAATTGACAAAAAAATAAATAAAAATCTTCCTGCAAAGTCTGACCTCCAAATCACCGGAGCCGATGTTGGACTCTTTGAAATGATTGGATCTTGTTTCAATCAAATCCAATTAATGGCGAAGCTAGTTGTTATGGTAGCATGTGTAGCTACAAACAGACTCGGGTGCGTGGTTCGGGGGTGGGTGAGGGCTGGGTGGGGGTGTAGGAGGGTCCTGTCACCACACACAAACTGAATGAAGAGATCTCTCAGCTGTGGGTCTTGTGTTGGTGCCACTTTTCCTCCTGGACCAACCACAGTCTTATCCCCACCCCACTGTGTGACCTGCATATCGCCCGGCTCATTACTGCAGCCCCAGAGGTCAGCCCTAAATTATCACCCTTCCAATTTAAACCCGTGTTGGTGTTCAATGCTTACACTGCGAAAACAAGATCAAGATTAGATGAAGTGACATTAATTCAGTATAATCATCTTAATTTGAGTAGTTTGGACAAGATTACATTTCTTTACTTATGGGGAAGAAGAAGAAGAAGACTTTTCAGAGATTACACTTTTGCTTACCTAATTCTTATTATTTTAAGTAACTTGATTGACGATTTAGGAAGTATTCAATAACAAGAGCAACTTATAAAACATTTACTTTTACTTTTCTACCTGATTCTTCCGTTTATTATTTTAAGTAACAGTACTAAATGTTTTTGAAGTAATCACTTACATTTTCAAGAGCAACTTTTTGAAAACTTTGAAAAATAAGTGCTTCTAAATCTACTTTTATTACTTTTATTGTGTTTCTGTCACATTCTCATTACTCAGATATGATTTTGTTTTTTCAACAGTAAACCTAAATTATTTTAGTTGTTTTAAAATGTTAAAATGTTATTATTATAATATCTTTTTAACTCTTGACATTTTAAGATGCCTTATGTAAATTTACTGGTGAAGAGTCCATCACCTGCTTGCCCACATAGAAATGTTCTACAGTACAGCATTAGATAGATAGACAGAAGACTAAGACTAAGTACCAAGGGCCAAAAACATAAATTGCAGACATTACATAAACATTAATGCAAAAAAACAAAAACAAAAAAAACAGTATACAGGGTTGCCTCTCCACAGATCTGACTTGAAGTGACCTGGGGGCTTCTATCATTTGGCTTCACAGAGACTATAAGACGTTTAATGCCATACTGTGGAACATTACAGGCTAAGCTTTGACGTCTTCATGGAGATAAAGGTTGTGTATGTTATGTGTAGTTTTAATTATTTGCCAGGATGGGAAGAACCTTACGCTTATTATTGCACATTTTACTAAATGTGTTTTCCTCTTAAACTTAACACAAAGAAAAATGTGTGTCATTTTGACTAAAACCAGATATAGAGCTTTTGCAGTGTACTGAGCCCCTTCACATGCGTTTGGGAAATGTCTGGAACGACTTCATAAGCCCACAGTGCCAGTGCCTGTAGCTGGAAAAGCCGAGCAGAGCCTGAGTTTCCCGGTGGCGGTCGGTACATGTAATGCATCACAGGGAGGTATTTGTGGAGCCGTTATCCCCTCAGATCAAAAGGGATATGTATCTAAAGCCACAGATAGTGTACCTGCCCCTGTTGTCAGCTCCTCTGGGACAGACATGATGGGTGGTCTCGGGCAGTCCATAGGGCTCCTCTGTCACCTTGACCCCACACAAACCCTCAGGCCTGGGCAGTTGTTCTTCATCTCAAGCCCTTTCAAGGAAACAAAATACAGAGTGGCTTATCTGTGCTGTTAAGAGCATGTTGTTGAGTCTTATGCAGAAACGCAGAGACAGTGATACAGCAGAGAAAGTAAATGTTGTGTTCTGATAAAAAAAAAGTGTTTGAAGCTCGAGCTTTCTTTTCATCTGTGTTTGATCTGCTCTGTTTCAGGCATCTGGACAGGAAACAGACGTCAGCTCTGCTCACAAACCCAATTTAGCATTACCCTTTATAAGCTGTCCTTTTCAATTCTTCTCTACATTTAGAGACTTGATTGTTTTAGCACAAAGTCTCTCCGGTGCCTAGCCCTTGGCCTTCTCGGGGCCCATCGCAGATCGACATGTGGTCCAACTTCTTTGTGCAGCAGGACGAGGATGGGCGCATTGGGGTGGCGGGGGCGGGCACAGCGGGGGGGTTGGCAGGTTTGGGGGGGATGAAAGGTGGCAGGACACAGAGGCGGAGCCACAAGATGAGTGACAGCATGGAGGGAAAGATCAAACTGGCCTTTTTCGTGGCAATCATCGGGGTGACCCTCACAGTGCTGGGCATGGGCACAGAGTTCTGGGCGGAGCTGTCCCAGCCAAAGACTTTGAGTGGGAACCAGACGTGTCAGATGGCCCATTATGGCCTGTGGAAGGGCTGCATCCGCACACTCTGGGTATCTGACATCGACCCTGAGAGGACGAGCTGTGGGCCCCCTGAGCTGCCCGGAGGTGAGATCCCCTCCTCCCCTCTATCTCTGTGTGTCTCCTGTCAATGTGATGAGGCAACTATGCGACTATTCAAGGTTATTTAGTTAGAAATGAATGAAAAAAGATAGGTTTTTGTATGCTCTGGACTGTTGCAGCATACAGCTGTGTGTTATTTGCATTCTGTAACTGCAGAGCTTTTTATTTATATATTTAAAGGACTTGTGGAATTATAAAGTGGAATTATAGAGGAGTACAAAGAGGATGTGCAGCAGCTGCATCCTTGTGTATCTAGGTCATCCTACAGATAATGTGTGGACTTTAAAGAAAGATTGTACTGAGGAACATATTCAGGGCATTAACACCACATTAACTATGAATGACCACAACACTACATGTGTTTCAGATCCTGTTCTGTAGTAATAACATCATGCATCATTTAGACATATGCCATGTGGCGTCAGACGACTCAGTGTTAGCAGCGCCGTCCGCTCCACAGCGTCTGAAGTTTAATCAAGTGTTTCTAATGCACAAGTTTTCCCTTCATTAAGTCCTCTGCGCTGGGCTGAGCAGAAGACAGACAGGTGAAGAGACTTCCATCTGTGAAAACTGTTCTTTAGGCGAATGAATCTGTTCTCCACAACTATTCAGTGAGACTATGGCCCATTTTCCAGATAAACAGTAGAGAAAGTGAAGGTAAACACACAGAGTCAGTCTTACCCACAGCCTGATGTCAGCTCCTGTGCCACAGTCACACACAGATGTGTTCACAGTGCAGTCTGGACCACATCATGTGGAATGATGCATCACTATTGTTTTTCACACTAATTTGTCTGTGCTGTCTGCGCTCTCGCTGCTGTGCTCACACACACATTTGTGCAGGATGCTTCAGTTGGAGGTGCTACTATCCGCCTCTGTCAGGCTGTCCACACTGGCATCCCACACAGTGTGGACACAGAGGCTCGTCATATTCACTGGCTCTGGTCCTGAGCTCAGTGTGGTCGGCCTGTTCTTCCCACACCACCATCGTCTCCTGATGAGGAGAGAAACACTACACATGAACACATGTTCACATACTGCAGAGAGAGATGAAGCAGGAGGCCATCTTGGACCACATGAGATTTAGTGGGGGGAAGTCATCAGTGAGTGCTTGTGAAGCCAAGTGGAATCTGACTACTTCACAGTTTTTGTCTAAATATAGAGAGGGTAGATGAGGGACAGAAGGGACTGAGGCTGCTCGAATGCTGCATTAGCTGAGCCCAGTGCACACTTCTACTCACCTCTGGAAGTGTCTGTTTAGTCTGGAACGGGTCCCATAGCCGTACATGAGACTCTACAGCCATATCAGTACCAGTGCATTGGCTCATGTTCCTCAGTTAGTATGTCTACTGCCTCCCCTCTTCCTCTTTTCCTCCCTCTCCCTCTCTGCCCCTTTCTCAATCTCTATGCCCCTCTTTTCCATTCTCCCTTTTCTCTCCCCCTTCTCACTTTCCCTCCCCCCCTCTCACTGCTCCTCTCTCTGTCCCTTTCTACCTGTTCGCTCCTCTCTAACTCCCACTTTGTCACCTCTCTCCCCGTTCCCCCCCCTCGCACCCTCTCTCTCCCTTTTTCTGCTCCCAAGTCTCCCCCGTCTCCCCCTCTCTCTTTGCCCGTCTCTGCTTGTTGCCTCTCTTGCTGAGGTGCTGTCGCTCTGTGCTGGGCACCATATGTGCATGTGCAGCCTGTCTCTGGGTATTGCAGCTAAAGCTCTACACTGGGTTATAAATAGGAGTGATGCCTGGAAGGACAGAGAGCAGAGATGCACAGGAGCTTCACAATAGCCAGTAGCCATCCTCAGGTCTCAGGTCTATTCAATTCAAGTTTTTATAGAGCACATTTAAAACAACTTCAGCAGACCAAAATACTTCACAAAAAATACATTGGAAAAGTACAAAAATACACCATGCCAGGGGAGAAGAGGTGAGTTTCCAGTCATGCTTAAAAAAAAATTATATAATGTTTTTCCTGGAGCCAGATCACGATTTCGATTTTCTCACATCAAGTGAACTTTATATACAGTATTTGGTCTGGAAATTCACACTGTATGAGTTAAATCTGTCACTAACTCAAGCATTGATGAAACAGTATATAATAATAATAATATAATAGGAAGTGTCTTTGTCTGAACATCGCAATATTGCTCTGCCCTAATTTCATTTTGTGATCTGTTTTCTTCTTAGAATCCAACTGCACCTATTTCAAGTTTTTCACATCTGGAGAAAACGCAGTCATCTTTAAGAAGACGACAAACAGAAGTGAGCTAATAAAAAACTGTTAGGGCTGTAGTCAACTGAAGATACTCTTGGCTGACTTCAGACATGTCCCGCTGATCATTTGGTCAACGTCGTTTATGGCAAAAGCTCTCAAAACTATCTTGTACCTCTATATCTCTGACCCAATCTGCATTCACAAGGCTACACCTGCACAAGAGCTCATGTAAAAACATTTATGCAGAAAAAAGTACTAGGAAACAAAGGCAGATTAAACTTGTGAATCATTTTTATTCATGCATTTAACCTGCCTTTTTACATCTAAATGCCAAATCTTCAGATAACTCACTTGCTTCCCCTTTTATGCTGTTAATCTAAATAAAATAGTTAGTCGACTAAGACAAATTTTGGTTTACTGAGATTCTATAGACCAATTATAAACTAGTGACTAAAAGCCCAGAGCTCTACTAGCTGTTGTGCATTCCCATCACACCACACTGTAATCATGATGCTCACATGCGGGAGGTTTGTGCTCGCTCTGGCCCATTACCCCTTTGCTCCGCCCCTGTGGTGGAGCAACAATAATTCTCTCTTTGATAAATGGGGACATCATGTGTGCATCCAGAGGGGGCTCCCCGAACATCAGCTGTTTCTCTGTTAGTCTGGCTTCAACTTCCAGAATCAACAAACATGCATTATCATGTTTGATCACATTTTAATTACCCAGCGATTATTCTCAGATCTAAACTGTAAAAATCCTCCATCCATCTATAGCTTTCAGATTTTAGCATGTAATGATGTAGCACTCAGTTTTGATGTATTGATTCTGAGGAAATAACCACCTTTGATCAGCGTCTATTTTTGTAATGTCCTTGAGCAAGACACTTATCCCACTTGTGAATATGACATGCATGTGAGTGTTTAGGTGCACATTGGCAGTCATGTTTTCAACAAATTTGCCCTAGGGCAGCTGTGGTGACCAAGAAATAGTAGTTTTACTGAATAATCAAGCTGCTATGATTATGACTGGGTATCATCAAGAAGTTGCCGATACGATACAGTGAGCTTTCGATTTGATACGATATATTTCAAATCAGTTCGATACGATTCAATAAAAATAAAGGCTGTGATACTAAAAGTCTTTGTTAAACCACTTCTTGTGCAAAGTTAATATGAAAGGCACCGACTTTAATCATCAAAACAGTGAAAATGTCAAATGTGTTGCATAAACGAGTTTCCTTCCTCTAAACAAGCAACAAAACTGTAGCGCTGTAACTAAATAGTTTGGTAAAATATACCAAAAAATACTCTTGGCAATATATCGATACAGCAGCCCATGATATCGATACAGCAGCGTCATATTAAATGATACAATATACTGATATTTCGATATTTTTGAACACCCCTAATTATGATATAAAAACCAAGAATGATAATAACACCTAGAATGTTTTGATGCCTTCTGAAACAAAAACGTATAGTGGAAAAAATTGTTGTAAAATATCAAATAGTATATTAATGCTTTGTTAATAATGTTGTATATAGAATAAAGTGGATTGTATAAGAATAATATGCTTAGAAAGTAGACCCCTGCCTGTGTGTGAGTGAGGGAATAAGAGCTTAAGATCCTGTGCTGTGTGTGTCAGATCTGAACCTGGCGGCCGCCGTCCTGGCTCTGCTCAGTTTGACCATGATGGTGATGGGCTCCATCTGTATCGGCATGTCCCTCAGCAAAGGGGTGTCCTTCTTCCTCAAACCAGCTGCATTCTGCTTCATCCTCTCAGGTAGAGTGGACAGAAAATGTATATATAAAATATATATATATATATATATTCTGCTTACAGAGACTTGAAAAACCATTATTGTTCTGCTAAATTTAAGTCTTTTACTTGCAAGAACTAGATAATTTGACTGTGACTACATGCTTCCAGGTTGTTGTTTTTTTGTTTTTTTTTCAATGAACATTTTACTTTTACTTGAACTAGTGATTGGTGATGTAGACAAAAAATAATATCTTAACTTTTCTCTAAATAATTGCAATAACCAGATTATATTTATGCATCAGAAATATGCTTAAATGTGCCTGTAATTTAAATTTGGGAGAAAGGCTTGGTCAGATCTACCTTAGTTGAAGGATTTTACCTATTGTGCATATCTTGGGTTGATGGGGGAAAGTGGAACACCCAGAAAAAACCCACCTAGACATAGGAAGAAACATGCAAATCCACACAGAAAGGTCCAGGAGTTGAACTAAGAACCTTCTTGCTGTGAGGTGAAAACATGTTCTGTTTCCAGCCTCCTGCCTCTCTTTAAATGACTTCATTTATTCTACCACAGAAATGTAGTTTGGATATCATGACAAAACCACCCTCTCCTTCCTCAGGGGTGCTGGTTCTACTGTCAGTGCTGATCTTTCACCAGTCCGTCTTGGCTTTACTGGCCAGTGACCACTCCATTCCCACCAGCCACAAGCTCTCCTGGTCTGTGGCGTGTGTGGGGTCGGCTGGAGCCATCCTCATCTTCGGGGGGATCCTCTTCATTCTCCTCTCCCTCCCCTACAGCCCCTGGCAAAAATGTTTCCCTCATAAGGACGGTGGTGCAACTTAGCGACTAACAGTATCATATTTTGTATTGTCTAAAAGTGAATGAGAAAATGCACAGCAAAAATAGATCTATAACTTTACGTAAAGGTGATGTCATTTTTCTGGTGGGAGGATCCATCACCTGCATGTGGAGGTTACAGCTGTGAATGCTTCACAGTATGGCATTAAACTTATCTAACTTGTATCTAGTCAATTACAGATGTCAAAAATTGAAAAACATGCATTCTTACTGTGAGCGGAGCTGCTTTCCACAGATCTGTAACTTGGCTCAGTAATACAGTTAGACACAAAAATTTAATGCCAAACTATGGAATATTACTTGAAAAATAATAACATCTCCATCTCCTCAAGTAGGTGGTGACCCCACCAGAAAAGTTCCATAGGATATCTTTAAAATGACTTTAATTCAGAATATGAATCTTGATTTCAGTAATTTAGATTTTAATTGTTTATGTGGAGTAGAAAAATTCAATGGTTTCAATACATTTCTGCAAGATCATTTATCTTGAAATAAGAAAATACATTTGTAATTGTCAGAAAACATTTCTACTGTGAAAAACACCTCGCCTGGGATCCAGAATACACACTTGTCCAATACTTGTCCAATACTTTACAAAGACCTGGTCACCAGTGAATCTCACTGTTTTCATATAGATGTGATTGACAGGTGGATTAGCCAATCAGGGACACACATGGTCAGTCTGTAGCTGATTTCTGCAAATCAATGAGTGAAATACTAAACTGTTCATCTGAGGTGAGATACTTTTTTGTTTGTAAATTATAGGTGACCAAGGAGCTCCTTTCACATGCGTCACTGAAAAAACTAATCTGATTGCACATTTGTCTGGGCTTGAGACGCAATGCAGGGCATGGGGACCAGACTGATACACATCTGTATAAAAAATACAGAGACATATCATTCTGAACTTGTCATGCAAAAAAAATAAAAACTTCCAGCTTGTAATGTATGTATTGAAAACCATGGCCATAAATAAATCAGAAGTTCTCAAAACTATTGAAATTAACATTGAACAAATAAGATAATAAGTAATTTGAACTTATCTAGATATGGGTTTTTGCAATGTGACTGTGCACTTTCTCATTCTGTGTTCAATATGTCATGTTAAAACTGTCATAGGTCTTAATGGAGTAGCAGTAGAGGAATGTCTTGTATGAAACGTCAGTTTAAGTCCTGTAAGTTGAATGGGTTCTGATTTACTATCCTGACGTTTACTAATGACAACACACTGCCAGTTCAGGACAATGTAAATATCTTTTGCAAAGGTGCTCTGGAGAAGTTGGTTTGTTTTCACTGTCTGATCTGAATGGAAGGCAGGGGTCTATATATGTCTATGGGATATTTACTGTTTTTGCAAGAAATATGCAAACTTCCATGATCCATACATATTTAACTTTATAATTATATGACAGGGATTGGCTCCACAAACTTGCCATATTAATCTTATGGATGAAAGTCCTTTCAGCTGACAGGAATCTCACCTTTGTGATGAAATAATGCTACTACATGAAGAATAAAATGTCTTAAATTATTACTGACAGAGAAGACATTGCACTTTATGCCAGTGTATATGTGTCCAGTAATTAAAGAGATAGTAACCAACCATAAACCAGGACAAAACCATTTCAAAAGCAAATTCTGCCATAGATTTTTGACCTGTCCTTCACCTCAACATATAAACAGACCGTTTAACATGTGATGTCACATGAACCCAGCCTTTTCATTCTACATTGGTACAAAATTAAGCGTTGTGCTTCTCATAACAAGGGGACAATGATGTGTGGTACGCTCACTATTTTAACTGTCCTGCAGTCCTTTGAGCGCCTCTGCTTTCTAAACACTGAGCTATGTGTTTTATGACTGAAATAGACCTAGGCATGCTGACTGCTCTTAGCTGTTGCCTCCTGCTTCACTGAAATGTTGATGTACGCAGCACCATACTATGTTTTATAAAGTTTTAACAAGTAATAAGCCACTTGACTAAGCTAGTTTTATTTATTACTTGTGTGTTAAAGATGCACTATGAAACTTTTCTGGTAGAAGTCCGGTCCACCATCTTGTGTCTTGCTTGCCCTGGAATGCTCCAAAGTGTGACATTCAACGTAAACATCTCCATGGAGACTCGCAGGTGACACGACCAGACCAAGTTACAGGTCAGATCTGTGGAGAGTTGAGCCACAGTAAGAATCGATGTTTTTTACGTATTTGTTTGGAATAAAAGCACCTGTAATAGAATGCAAGATGGATATGTTTTAATGCCATACTGTTGAACATTCTAGGCAAAGCAGTAACATCTGCAGGGAGACAAGCAGGTGGCGTACATAGTGCATGTTTATTGTGCGAATGAGTCTCTTTGATGAATGGAAGTAAGTAATGAATGATCCCATTTTGTATAGCTTTGGGAATGAACTCACTTTGTAAGCTCATCTTTGTACATATGCCGAAAGTGAACATTTGATATTGTTTTGTAGTGTGTCACAAAACTGCTCTGTTTTGCTCAATAATAAAATGTTTTCACATTAATCACTGGCTTGTTTGTGGTCTCTGTGTCTGCATTCAAATTTGACATTCACCCATTTTCACCCCTCCACTACGTGACCACTGCGCCCCGTCCCCCATGTCCAAAGCACTACACTATAATTAGGCTCGAGCTCATCGTGGTGTGTTTAGTGCAGAGGTGGAGAAACTCTATCCTTGAATTCCAGCTATGCCCCCGATGGGCCTTCCGTCATCCACTGTGACCGTCCACTACTCAAACTCTCTTCCACTTTAAAGCTATGAAAAACAACATACATTATAGCACATTTGAATATAAAATACGGCTGCACGATTTGAGAAAAATATCAAATTGTGAGTTTTTCAACAAACATGGTGTTTGCAGGTAGATTTGTAATTTATTTATATTTTAAGTGTGTCCAGAAGAATTGACAAAAAGCTGAAATATGAACTAACAAAAAAATACAAGCACCTTTCGTAACATGTCTGCATAGATGTAAACTACAGGTATACAAGTTACCAGCAGAATAAGACATTACATTTGCTAAATTATGTAGTTGCAGTTAATATTTCATCCCTATTAATGGCTATTTTGAAAGATTTCTATTCTGTCTAATTCAATAGATTTATGTAATTTGTATAGCACAGTTTGGCATGCCTTCTCTTTTATTTTATTTTATTTTATTTTATTTAAAGAGGCAGCGTGTTCAGACGGGAGCTCCACCACCTGCTTGTCTCCATGCAGAAATTATTCCATATGGTGTTTAAGTTCTCAGTAGAGACAAGCAGGTGTAGGTCAAGTTACAGGTCACATCCGCGGTGAAACGACCCTGCTCACAACAAACATGGATGTTTTCAGTGTCTAACCAGCAATAAAACACCTGTAAATGAATAAATGCAAGATAGATATGTTTAATGCCATACTGTGGAACATTGTTGACTCTGTTACTGCTTTAAAACAATCACACGGAGACAAGCACACCCAGCAGAAAAAAAAACAAAAGTGTAGTGTACTTTTAAAGGTCCTATATCCTCCTGGTGCCCAAAGAAAAAAAAGGTATTCGCAATATAAATTTTTTTTTGTGATTTTCTGTCTATTTGGAGGTAAATGAACACCTTAGCATTTAGATTTTGTTATTTTTATTTTTATTTATAATTTGTAACATGTCCTTTGTAATGGATGCCGGCGACATTTTGGTGTTAAATCCATTTTAAGTTAACAACCTAACAAAAACAACTTGACCAACATCTCTGACAAGCTTTTACAGTTGCCTCAAAAAGTTTTTAGACTCCCTTTTAATTTCTTCTTCTTCTTTTTTTTTTTTTTTTTTTTTGTATCATAGTGCAGCAACAAGCTAACTCCTATTGAGTTTTTATTTATTTATTTATTTATTTTTTATCCTGGACATGATAGTACCCTATAATACCCCAGCCCTATTTAGGCAGAGGAACCTAGACCCATTAAGAGTCTATCTCAAGATACTTAAAAGACAGACTGGTTACCTCAATGTCCTCTATAAATGACACAAATGAATGGGACAGGTCTCAGCCGGGTAGCATGCAAAAAAAAAAAAAAAAAAAAAAAAAAACATACTCTTATGAGCTTTTAGCCAAGTTATAATGTCATTACCTCATCAAAATATGCCTGGAGTTATGTTTGTTTAATTCACAGCACATGTTTGAGTAACTCTTTATAATTTGTCTGTTCCACCCTGTGATGTCATCAAGTGCTAGTCTTCAAATTAACACCTACCTTTTACTTTTTGTTCAGTAGCGAATAGAAATTCCAGGTCTGAAGCAATCCAAATGATTCTAGTGAAGGTTTATGTAAAACACAATGGAGCACGTCCTGTATTACCGCATGACATCACAAGGTGGAACAGAGTGTTTTCTGTTTAAAACAACTCAACCTAAATATGCAGAAAAAAAAAATGTGTGAATGAAACAAAACACATCTCCAGGTATGTTTTTGATGAGGAAACAAGAGAGTATGACATAAGACTGTAATATGGGCCCTTTAAATGTTAGAAAAAAAAGGAAAAAAAAAAAGTCTATTGTATCCTTATAGACATATAGACCTTCTGTACTTTTATTTGTGCAACATTATTAATAGTTTGTCCATTTTTAGTAGTTTGTACGACCATAAAGGAGAAAAAAAAAGTCCTTACATTCCTTACATAAACGAAAAACCTTCTGTGCCTTCTTTATCATTATTAGTAGTTTTTATGACCATAATACAGCACAATACAAGAAAAAAGAAAGAAATTGGGTTAAAATTATATTTCGTATGCATAGTATGTCATTTATTTTGCTATATGTAAATATTTGTTAAGTTTTGTCATCAATGTACAGAAGCAACCACATCATTTTAGATTTTTTTGAAACTATGTAATGAATAGAGTTGGGTTTATATACGGTTTTTTTGTTTTTTTTCTTCCCACTCTTTTTCGAGATATATGTAGTAGTACGTATGTGATTATTGTTTCTCTCTTGGTACAAACTCGAAATAAAAACAAATCGAATACAAAACTGATGGTAAATTTTCCTAAAAAAATCAACGTAAGTGCAGTGGTTTCTCTTGAATAAATCTATCTTTGTGTAAAACGTTTATATTTAGGCACCTGTGCGTATTTCTGGCATTAATCCAACGCTATAGGCTACTTCAAAGCACAATCACTCCTCGCGTGCAAACCAGGCCCACGAGCTCCAGCGCAGAATTCCGAGAGAAAATCCCGATTGAGCGATTATTCCCAGAAGAGACACGCCCACAAAAACACCGCGTCAGCCTCCTCATGTGTTACCACTAATAGCAAAGAACGGGCCCCGAATATAAACCAATGGACAGGTACAGGAGCCAGAAAATGTGGGTCTGAAAAGAGAAAACTAACTGGATGTAACATTTGATTTAATTTAGGCCAAAAATGAATTGGACTAATGCGCAAAATCAGTTTTCCTACCTCATAAATAGCTCAAGAAAAACGAAATTTGACCTGAAGGAAAGTCTGAAGGAGCACTGCAAAAACACAAATGTTCAAATCGTTTAATTGACAGAATGAAGTTGTTCCTTTATCACTAGAATCTAAAAAGGGATGATTGAGTAACCAAAACTTTTATTCCCTCTGGTTACACAGGGTTGAACCAAGAGGACAAAACCAGGTCTAAACCATGACTAAACCACGACTAAACCAGTACTAAACCAGCACTCAACCATGACTAAACCAGATCTAAACCAGGTCTAAACCAGGATTGAACCAGGATTAAACCAGGTCTAAACCAGGAGTGAACCAGAAATAAACCAGGACTAAACCAGGTCTAAACCAGGACGGAACCAGGATTTCAACAGGTCTAAACCAGAACTAAACCAGGACTAAACCAAGACTAAACCAAGACTGAACCAGGACTAAACCAGGATTAAACTAGGACTAAACCAGGTCCAAACCAGGACTGAACCAGGATTAAACCAGGACTAAACCAGAACTAAACCAGGTCTAAATAAGGACTGAACCAGGATTAAACCAGGACTGGACCAGGATTAAACCAGGTCTAAACCAGAAATGAACCAGGACTGAACCAGGACTAAACCAGGACTGAACCAGGATTAAACCAGGACTAAACCAGAGCTGAACCAGGACTAAACCAGGACTAAACCAGGTCTAAACCAGGACTAAACCTGGACTAAACCAAGACTGAACCAGGACTAAACCAGGACTAAACTAGGACTAAACCAGGCCTAAACCAGGTCTAAACCAGGACTAAATCAGGACTAAAACAGGACTAATCTTGCGCTTGAGAGAGAGAGAACCCTGAGCCCATGGAGCAGGGTGTGCGGTCACCCAAGCAGTCTACGTCAGTCAGACACACAGTCCTGGTTCAGTTCTGGTTCAGCCCTGGTTTAGTCCCGTTTTAGTCCTGTTTTAGTCCTGGTTCAGTCCTGGTCCCTCATGTCTCAGGTCTTTATAGGACAGCATTGCATATTTCATGAGTCTATGCAGTTTGTTTTCACTGTTGCCAATAGCTTCAGTTTGACATTTAAGTTGTAGCTATTTTATATTAGTTATTTTTTTATATCTCACCCCGAGTACCACGCTCACTACACCCCTGGCACCCACCTTTATGAACGTCCTTGTAGCATCAGCGTGTCGGTCCTGACCTGTCGGCATGTCGTGGTGATGTCGGGGTCTCCAGAGCTGCTGCGCCTCAGTAACACGAGGTATGATAATAGCAGGAAGCCGCACTTCAAATAACTAATCCCCAAGAGCGCGTGGCATTTAACAGCCTCTCATTAAGAAGCTCCCCCAATTTTAGTAACTGTTTATGGAATCTCACTTTCAATGCAGTGTTAGTATAAATATTTATGCATTACAGATGGTCACAGGGGCAGCGGTCAGGGCAGCCCATCTGCTCCGGCAGGGGGTGTCTCTCTGAATCTCTGAAGGTCATAGTCATTCTCTGGTCTGTCAGGATGCACAGAAGCAAGACTCTAATCAGGAATAACACTGAAATAAGTTACAGGTAAAGAGATGTTTCACAATATGGCATTAAACTCTATCCTGCATTTCTTGATTACATTTTTTAATTGCCAAAAAAACCTCAAAACAAAACAAAACAAAAAAACAGGTGGAGTCATCTTTTTGTCTCCAGGGAGATCTAATCTTAAAGCTGCTCTGTGGAAAATTCCAGGTAAAAAAAGTCCTAAAAAGATACCATTGCTCTATGAACAGGTATCATTTAAAAGCACATTCTGTAACTTTTCTGGTGAAGGGTCCGCTACCTACTTAATTCAAATAACATAACCTGACGTGGCTTGTCTTTTTTACATTTAAAGAGGCACTGTGTTCAGACGAGAGCTCCACCACCCGCTTGTCTCCATGCAGAAATTATTCCATATGGCCTTTAGGTTTTCAGTAGAGACAAGCAGGTGTAGGGCAAGTTACAGATCAGATCCGCGGTGAAACGACCCTGCTCACAATAAACATGAGTGTTTTCTGTGTCTAACCAGTATTCCAGCCATAAAACACCTATAACTGAATAAATGCAAGATACATACTGCCATACTGTGGAACATTGTTGACTCTGTTATTGCTTTAAAACAATCACATGGAGACAAGTAGGTGCACACCCACCAGAAAAACAAAAGTGTAGTGCAACTTGTGAGTTTTTAGCCATGTTACAATATCATTACCTCATCAAAAATACACCTGCAATTGTGTTTTGTTTAATTCACAGCACATCTTTGAGTAACCCTTTATAGTTATATAAGTATGTCATTAAACATATCTATCTCTATCTCTATTGTTACAAGCAGGTAACATAATCAGGCTCCGGTAAAGGCCAAATCTGTGGAGAGGCGAGTCTGCTCACAGTTCTTTAAGCGATACAAACCTGTGATTAAATAAATGTAACATGGACACGATTAATGCGACAGTAGCTCAGCTGGTGTTTGTCCAATGATCTGAGGTTGGCGCTCTCGACATAAACATCTCGCCCCCAGTGTTTGCATACACTGTGAATGTGTGTGTGAATGAGTGAGTGGTTCCTTGATGTAAAGCGCTTTGATGCCTTGAAGGTGGAAAAACACCATATAATAATAATAATGTACCATTTGTGACCATACATTTTGTTTCACCAATAACATTTCATCACTTAAAAAAGAGGAATGAATGACAGCAGCCTTTGTGGTCTGCTATTGTTTTTTTTTTTATAAACTTCGTGCAATACAGTGTTTATCACACATTTAGATAAATCATAGTCATTGGCCTAGATAGATCTATTCTTAACTACATACTATGTATATTGCCCACATAAATGCTCTGTGCGCAGTGGTGTCACATTATTATTCTTTTTCCAAAATCAAAGAAAAGGAAAAATAAAATCCTGGAAGCATCTTGTTGTTTTGTTCTTTTTCCTTTTGTTGTGCGTCGGCAGTCACTCCGGACGATTGGGATTTCGGACGGTAGACGGTGAAGACAGAGGAGGGCGAGTTACATTCTCATCAATGGAGAGAGTTCAGTCACAACATAAGGGAAGCACAGTGAAAAAGGTAAGGATTTGGTCGTGTGACAAGGATCAGCTACATAAATCTCCCATTTCCCATTTGAACAGTGGTCCCCAAACACAACGCTAGACAATGTACTTACAGAAGCTCTATTACAAAGTCTGTCTATACACATATGTATTTTTGCCACTGAAATGGTTTGCATCTCATTGTTTGGGAATGACCCGTAAAAAATATTTTCTTTTCAGGCAGCAACCTTTACCTGATTTAACTGTACAAATGTGTTTTCTCTGCATCTTCTTTAGTCCAAAGTTGTGTTAATGCCCAAGAACAAACATTTTAACATACTAGAGCTACAATACTACTGTTAACATTGAAATTAGACTAACAAATAGAAAAGGTTAACTCAGAAAAAGTCTCATTTGCTTGCGTTATTGTTGCATTTGTTTAAATTCAGTATTGGAAGACAATTTACATAATATTCACATCTGACATGAATGAAAAGTACGCAATATAGTTTAAAATTATACTAGTTCAGGCTCGCACGCACCTGCCACATGTGTACAGTCATGCTTAAGACGCAACAGCTCCAGTGGCTCTGCATGGAGATTCACAGTTAAAGTCATGAACGAAAAGAGAAACATCAAAATAAGACTTTCTTACTACTAACTTTGCATTATCGTTAGCATGTAATAACGCGCAGAATAATCACAACAACAATTTACACTAGTAATGACTGTAGCGTAAATGAGAAACTGCACAGAAGGTAAGTGAACATCTTTGTCGTAGCCCAAGCTTCATCACGTTTGATCATTAACAAAATAAATCCTTTTCTAGCATGTTAAAATATCAAAATAGTTTTCTTGTGAGGGTTTGTTGTTGTTGTTATTATCGCTCAGTTATTACTCCAGTGGATCAGTGAACATGGATGATCCTCTGTCCTGGGGGTCTACACTGGGGTGGTCTTCCTGTTGAGTGTGTTGGAGTTACTCTCCCTGTCTCCCTTGAGCCTGTCCAGTGTGCCCATCCCTCGCTCTGTGGACGCTGTGAAGGGCGGGGGTCCCGAGCCCACTGAGTTGGGCATGGGCGCGTTGGAGTTGGTGGAGTTGGCGGGGTTGTGTGACTTGAGAGAGGGCAGCGTGCCGCTCATCATGACTCCACCCCCTCCCCCATCTTTAGGGAAACAGTTGTGCAGCTGGTACAGTGTGGCCCTGTCCACTGTCCCATACATGGGGGGCAGCCCGCCCAGTTTGGGGTCTCGAGACAGCGTGTAGAGCGAGATGTCTCCTCCGGCCAAAGCCGTGTGTGAGCGCGAATGAGGGTTTGGCAGTGTGGACACAGAGATGGGACCCTGGGACAACAGAGCGGACGGTGGCAAACCAAAATTCTTCCCTCCTCCTCCGACAGGGGAGGGGTCTCTGGAGCGGGAGGGGTCTGTAGAGCGTGACGAGGAGCGCGAGCGGCGTCTGAAGCGATAGCTGGGCAGGCGCAGCATGGCGTGGGTGGTGCTCTTGAAGATGTCGGTGCGTGAGCGGCAGCGCAGCTCTTTGTTTTTCTCGATGTAAATGTTGACAGCTAAAACCCCCACCATTTCGGCCATGATAAAGGACAGTCCCCCGAAATAAAAGGACCAGCCGTACGAGTACTGCCACTTCTTATCCTCGTCCTTCTTCGGAGAAATATCTCCCAGCGCCGCAGAGATGTACACAATCACACCAATGATATTACTCAGGCCTGAAACACAGAGGAGTCATACATCAGCCACAGACCTATAAACACAAGTTTAACACAAGGCCTGTGACGAGTGAATGTACGCACTTTAACTGCCAGACCTGCCTAAACAACAGGGACAAGTACAAACAATACATAAAACTACATATGTAAAGTACTCCAGACCACAGGCACGTTCCGACCGCTGTGACACAAAGAACCCTGAGAATGTTCAAATACCACATCTCAAATATGTGTGGCAACTTTTTAAAATTTCAGTTTAGTTGATCATAAATTATTACACTAAAGTATGACTTCTGTTGTAGTGGAGTTACCTGCAGCTACAAACAGAATCCCCGCTCCCAGGATGATGTTTCGTTTGCTTTTGTAGAAGCGACTGGCCGCGATGCAGACTCCGCCCATCAGCAGCAGAATCGCACTGAGGATTGGGAAAATATTTGAGGCACGGACCACGCCTGGAAAAGAAGAAGGAAGACAATTTAGTCCTGGTCCTGGTTTAGTCCTGGTTTGATCTTGGTTTAGTCTTGGTTTAGTCCTGGTTTAGTCCTGGTTTCAACTTGGTTTGGCCCAGTTCAAGTCCTGTTTTAGTCAGTGTCTGGTCCAGGTTTAGTCCCACTTTTGATGTGTGTTAGAGAACTTCCATTTTGGTGCTGTATCTAGGACGCTCACTGCCAGCTCAGTCCTTAATATCTCAGGCTCATCATTAAACGGTGAATAAACTTCTCCAGCATCATGGCTCTTCTGTTCAACTCTTGGACTACTATTATTTATTCTACAACAATGTGGAGTGTAAACATGCTTTAAACCTTAAGATAATATCATAGTTGTGGTCCTCAATGCACAAACTGAATATATTGTGTGTTATTAGAAAAATGTCAAAAAGCTGCATTAAGTTGATAAATATTAAAAAGAAGACAATTTTACGATGTTATGTATCAAACTAGGGTATAAGGTGATATTTCTGTTTCAGTCCATTCACTCCTGACAGGCAAGATTTAACAAATTTCTTATGGATTAAAAAAATAGGAGTTGACAAATGACTCAAAGTTCAGATACTAATCAATACTAAAATTAGAGTTATCGATCTTGAGCTGTATCAGAACAAGTATAAGACCACATCGACTTTTATACGGCCATGGACCACTACAGAACATATCTCTACAACTGGGCAATTACACAGATATACGATTTAATGTTGAAAATTATATTGTCTAAATGAAGAGTGTTTTTATTACCATGGTGCTATTGGAATCATTATTATTACCAGTGTTGGGGAGTAACGGATTACATATACCGGCATTACGTTATCAGAGTACAAATTATGAGTAACTGTATTCAGTTACAGTTACTGTTTCAATGAGTGGTAATTGGATTACAGTTACTTTGTTGAAATAAATGGATTACATGGTAGTATGTTCCTGTTTTCACATTTTGGGCTAAACCAGGACTAAAACCAGGACTAAAACGAGAACTAAAACCAGGACTAAATCAGGACTAAAACCAGGAATAAACCAGGACTAAACTAGGACTAAAACCAGGACTAAATCAGGACTAAACTAGGACTAAAACCAGGACTAAATCAGGACTAAACTAGGTCTAAACAATATGCCACCAAACAGCAGGGTGGACATAATTAAAGGCACCAGTGATCTCATATAAAAATCATTTCTCTATCTATAATATTTTTAATACAGTTAAGTAAAGACTGGGCTTTTTATTGTCTTTAAGCAGACAAAACATATTAAGATATCGTAGTCTTTGCTTTTCTACAGCAAACAAATACCTGTTCATGGAGACTTGGGCTCAACAGCCAATTTGAAGAGAACAAACAAGAATTTGCAGGATGTGGTTGGTACATTCGTGTAGTTTTAAAAAGCATGACAATATCAAGTAATCCAAAGTATTTAGATTGCATTACTCACTTTAAGCAATTTAATGGATTACGTTACAAACTACATTTTGGGGTATGTAATCTGTAATTTGTAGGGGAATACATTTTAAAAGTGACCTTCCCAACAAATATCAATATCAATTTCAAGATCAAGCTTGAAATTTTAGTATCGTGAAAACACTAATAGCAGCATAATAAATAATAAATAAAAAACACAATAAAACATGATCAATAAAACATTATAAAACAGATCCTTTCTCTTGTGACGTCATTTGTCTCCAAGTTTAGGGGGATGGGACGCACATATGCACATACGCATTAACATTGTCTTCTCATCTAGGACATGTAGTAGGCCACAGCAGGGAAATGCCACCTAAATGCCAGCAAAATGCCTCCTCTCCACTGTAAACAGAACACAGCTATTCTTTATGTTTTCACCAGGCAAACATGAGGCAGAGCAGAGCACAGCGAAAGCACTGTAGGGCACGAAGCATGAACTAGGACACTCTACTCCCCTCTCACAGCGTCGGCGTGCGAATCACACCACAAAATATAAAATGAAACAATTCAAAACTTTGCACTGCAAAAATGAGTCAAAGGTGCACTCTGTAGCATTTCTAGCTGAAGATTTGCCATTTGTGTTACTGGGGACTGCAATAAAAACACATGCATTTTATTTAAAGCACATGTCAGATTCGATATTCATAATATTAGACCAGAAGAGTTACATAGCACACCTATAAAATCTATTTAAAGAAGATCTATTGTGCTTGTGTCTGCTATATAGCTATTTTTTATGACACCATTGGATCATTATGTCATAGTTTGCGCATTTAAAATCGCAATATTCAATACATACTTCCACATTCGAATATATGGTGCCCAGTGGAAGCTGACATAAACATCATCGCCGTGCAGCTGTCGGCATCACAACTGCACACCACACGAGCAAGTTGTGCATTTTTACCATACCAAAATAACTACCACACTGTCGAATCCTACGTGTATGGCTGTTTCAGAAAATAAAAATGGACAACAAAGTCAGTAGAGAGCAGTGGGCAAGTACTGGTGGTGGTGAAAACATTGATAGGCAATACGTGTCTTGAAAATAAGCGATTCAATATTGCTCAGACATGCACGAATCAGTCCTAATACCACTTCGAGAGGGTAAATGAGAAGGAGAAACAACACTAACATTGTTAAAGCTCTGAAAAGTCGATTTTGCAAAATAGGTCTGCTTTAATTAAGAATATAAATCGTGAGGCTGCAATTAGACTCACTTGCACACATATCAAAATTAGGCCTAAAGATGCAACTCAACCTGGATTATATCAGGACTAAACCAGGAATAGAATAGGAATCTACAAAAGGACTAAACCAGGATCAAATCAGGACCAAACTAGGAAAAGGTATAAGTAGTTTGAAGTAAATTATTTTATTTTACTTGTTTCAAAACATTTCATCTTTTTTCAAGCCATGGTTTTGCCAGTTGAGTAAGAAAATCACTTACCCCACTGCCTGATTCATGATCTTTTTAAAAAATGTTTTAATAATTTCAAAACCAGTCAGAAACACACGCAAACACGTTAAACAGTCTATGTCATGCACACAATGTAACTTGTCAAAATGTCTCAAATCACTATTGTTTTTTTTTCCAGTGCAATAAACAAAGGAGGCAGTGACTTACGCAGGACATACTCGGCCCCATCGTGGTCAAAGTCTGCATCTTCTGGGAAGTGGTTAATTTGAGAGCATTCTCCTCTTTTCACCCCTGTAAAAAGGAAAATAAGATTAATTAAAATTTAAGAAATAAAATAAGTCTTAAAGAAGTCATAAGTCATAATAATAAGTCATAATAATTATTTTATGTAATTAAATCTAGAGCTGCAAGAGTTATCAAAGAGATGCAAAAAATTTAAGGGGCGCAATTAGCAGATCAAAAAGTCTGTGATGTCCTTTGTAATTAAATGATCCTATGCTTGAGTGTTTAACATCTACTGGTCCATTAGTTTATACAAACATGTTTAAAAATGCATGTGATTCCTGTAGTGATTACTAGTTTAAGAGGTATTTATATTCTTCTTTCAAATACAAAATAGACAGGTTTACAAAGTGCACTGTGGACTGGATCTCAGGGTGATTTGCAAGCACTGTCAGAAAAAAAAAAGCTACAATACATCTTTACAAATCTTTACAAATCTAACCCCAATATAACCTTAAGCAAAAGATGTTCATTTTGTCTTCTTATATACTTTAACTTCTTGGGTTCTTTTTAAAGACAATGCAGTAAAGTGTGTTTACCTTGTTGACATGTTTCGGCTGCTAGCTGCAAGCCATCTTCAGAACTGTCACCGGTGTTGGTGGTGACGTGTCGTATATCAGCTGTTGTTACTTCCTGTAGGCGTGGTCAGCCTGATGGACCTGGCAGGTCGCTCAGACTGACCACGCCTCCCGTCGCCCGGTGTCTCTGGAGGAGGGTGTCCCAGGTGTGTGAAAGGAGGAACGCGCCGTCATCACGGTTAATGCTGTCCGTGCCTCGCTTTCTGATTTCAATGTCCTCCTTGATCCAGCGTTTGAACTTGTTGTTTTCCGATCCAATGACCCGAGCCCCGTCCCGATCCATAATGTGGTTGTTCCTTTTACAGTGGTCTGATATGGCGGATTTTAGGTTTTCCTGTTCTGCTTTGTCTTTTTGTGTTCTGGTGAGTCTCCCTGACGTTTCCTTCTCGCATTCCTTTTGGTGTTCCTTTTTTCGGATGTGAAATGCCCGGCCTGTTTCCCCTATGTATGATTTATTGCATGATTTGCATTGAATTTCGTAGATGACATTGCATTTTTGTTCTTGTGGGATTTTGTCCTTGGGGTGTACGAGCTGTTGACGGAGTTTTGTGTATGGTTTTACTACAGTGCTAATGTTGTGTTTTTTCATGGCTCTCTGGATGGGTTCGGTTATGCCTCTGATGTTCGGCAGTGTGACTATGTTTTTGTCCTGCTGCCCTGTGTTGGATTGTTGTGTTTTTTTCCGGGGTTTGTTGGTTTTATTGATAACTTGTTGTCTGCCTTTGTTATGGCCCAGCTGGGATACTGACATTGTTTGAGCGCACGTTCCTCCTTTCACACACCTGGGACACCCTCCTCCAGAGAACACCGGGCGACGGGAGGCGTGGTCAGTCTGAGCGACCTGCCAGGTCCATCAGGCTGACCACGCCTACAGAAAGTAACAACAGCTGATATACGACACGTCACCACCAACACCGGTGACAGTTCTGAAGATGGCTTGCAGCTAGCAGCCGAAACATGTCAACAAGGTCAACACACTTTACTGCATTGTCTTTAAAAAGAACCCAAGAAGCCAATATAACCTTTATAGACGGAGCAGTCCTACACAAACGTCAGTACGAGTATACATACAAGAGTGGACAGACAGAGGGGCGGACGGCTCTGATGGAGAATGAAAAGGATGAGATGGGATGAGGAGGACACAGATGTTTCCAGATGTTTCTCTGTGAAGAAGCAGGTGGAGCACAGAGGGACAAATCAAGGCTCCGACAAATCATCAGACATATGCTCACTCAGACAGCAGAAAAATACACTTTTGAAACAGCACATTTTTAGTGACATCAAATACATGAACTGTATGAGCTGTGATGTTTGTTTCAGATTATGACTTGTACTAAAATAATGCCACATGGAGCTGAGCCCCATCAGGCTGAAGCTGCAGAGGAGAGAGCAGGACATCTCTATCCTCTGCCACCCACAGGAACATGAATCTTTTAAAGGGGTTTGTCCAGTGTTTGCTCTGTGCTACACCTCACTGCATCACTGCACAAGTGTGCGGCCTCTGCAGACCTCCGGCCCGCATGAGCCTAACCCAAAGCCTGGTCTAACCAGCAGCTTTAGTGCACCCACCCCGAGAGCACAAGGAGGCAGGAAGAGAATATCTATGAGGAGAGAGCGGGGTGTTCAGTGAATGCAGCCAAAGCACACAGAGAGGGGTGGGGGTGCACTGCAGTGCTGCAAGGCTCCAGCTTATCTCTAATTGGCTGCTGCTATCAGGAAGCTTAAAGATGAGGACAAATTAGCTTTGTACAATGACCAAGCCCAGGACGGCACAGGCTTTTTAAACCGAGCCAAGAGGCTTCCTCAAACTGGAGCTGCATCTGTTTGAATGGAGTGAAGTCACAGCACAGTTTGGCCCTTTACACTTGAGTGTCAGCCAGTCTGTGTACTGTGTAATGGATAAGAACTAGCAGCTTGTATTTCTGTGATGGTCACAGCCAGTTTCTGCGGCTTCTGCCATTTGGCTTCAGAAAAGAGAGAAAGGAGGGAGATCTCTTTCACCATCTCCACCATCAAACTAGTCACTAATGACTCTGACAGAAAAAAAGTTTTAGCATGTTACACTAAGATATGATGCACACTAGTACAGGCCGATATATTTCCCATAACCCCTTGTGTGATGCGGTGTACCTTCCAGGCAGCAGATCCTCCAGAGGCCGGAGTGGGTGAGGGCCCCGGGGTCCTTCTTGTCCTTGTTGTGTGGGTCGTCCTGGGACACGTTGGCGGTGGTGTTGCAGATGAGGGCACGGGAGTACAGCCAGTAGTCCGTCCCTATGGCCACCGTCATCAGGCCGAAGGCAGCGAAGGCCCCCACGGTGGTGAGGAGGATCTGGATCCCCTTCTCACACACCATGCCTGAGAGACAGATAAAGACTCACCTGTTTAGACTTAGGCCTGTCACGATAACACTTTTTGAAGCACAATACCTTACTGATGAAAATATAAACCATAACGAAATACTGATTGCTATTATTCCACTGACACAGTAACCCTAAAGCAGGACACTATATGTACAGTATTGTGAATGACCATGAACTGCAGTAGCAAAATGAAACATCTATCTATCATAAACTGAATGATAAGTCGATACAGTAATTATCATGACAGGTCTATTTAGACTGTCATACTTTGTTTTCACATTTTAATTGAGGGTTGGGCGATAGGAGGATGGAAATCGTTACATGATCTGACATCTGCTATTTTGGTGAATGCCGTGATTGAGTGCTTCTCTGTTTACTACAGCTTAATGCTCAAATACACGTTTTCCCTTGCACTCTATTGGCCAACCTCCATTATGCTCTGAGTGACAGGTGGATTTAACCAATCACAGTTAAGTATGAAACTCACAAGATGCAGAAAGCTTTAGTTACCTACAACATAAAGATGATAAATGTACATAAAACATGACCCAATTGAAATCATCACATAGGTTATAGATAATTTTGATAGACATTTTTAGGCATATTGTCCACACTTTATCTAGGCTTGGTCAGGACAACCATAGCTGGAGGATTTACCCAGGGATCGAACCGGTAACCACCTTGCTGCGAGGTGTGAGTGCTTGTTATGCAGGTTTCAGCAGACAGAGTCCAAATCAAAAGTTTTGTAAAGCCCCGTGAAGCGACAGTTGCTGTGATATGAGACTTTACCAAATAAATGGAAATGACCTAAAAACACGGCGAGGTATCAGACAGGTGCATGTGCTCCAGAGCTTAGGCCTTAGTGAGGGAAGCTGCAGTGCTTCTTTGAGCTGATGGAGCTTAGAGGAGAGAGCGGTGACTCTGCAGACGGCGCTAACAAGACACAACTGATCCCAAACACAACACGTCAGGCTTCAAGTCCGGCTCTGCTCCATATTCATGACCTGAACCGACACCTCTTCTGCCTTACAATGAGGGCACGGGGCAGACAGGATGTGACAGGGGCGCACCTTGCCTCTCCTGCACTTACCGACTCCGCAGGGTCACATGACATCACAATAACTTAAACTGCCTGTGGTTTAATACTGAGCTGGAGGGCATGTCACAATTCTATGGTAAAACCTGTCTTTAAAACGACACTATGCAACTTTTTTCTAGTGGATTGTACGTCACCAGCTTGTCTCCGAGGAGATGTTATTGATTTTGCATTTAAAGGGAATGTACCAGGTTTGTTTCATGTAATAAATGTGATATGCCGTAGCACAGATATATTGTAAAAATGAGACTGCTGTGTGCTGTCTGCATTAAATTATAAAGTGTTTTTATCTCCACAAGCCAGGAAATGCTCATTAGCATGCTAGTTGGAAGTGACAAAACTCCACTCTGGCTTCTGAAGGTGACAAAAACCAAATAAAATGAAATAACTATGGACCACTGCAAAATGCTCAAAATGTTGTTCTGTTTTTCAAGTTTTTCCGACACTAAAAGTCAAACTTGAATAATTTGCATTTATTCTAAAACATAAAGTAAAAATGTTAATAAGATTAAATCATTGTATTCACTAAGATTAATATTGCAAATTTGTAGAACTAATCTGTATCTGTAAATGATAATGTAAATATAATGACTACATAAACATTTGAGCTCTTCATAAACTGTGAATTGCCCATAGAGTTATAATGGTCCTTGCCCTCCATCAGAAATAATGACATAAAATATTAGATTCTGCCCATTGCATCCACTCTCTACTTTTCTATCTGACCATCTGTTGTTATGTGAAGTTTTCGCCAACTTCTCCCAGCATGCCGAGCTCCTATTTTAGACCGGTGACACATACTGTACAACGAAACGGCTCCAAAAACGTCCCAACTTACCTGACGGCGAGTTTCTATCCTTCGACTCAATTTTGAAATCTTTCTTTTCCTCGTCAATGAGAAACGTGCTGTCCCCTCAAGCCGGACAGCATCCATCGACTGTGTTCACCTGCTCCCCCTCTCCTTTCCGTTCACTCTTCTGTCGCTTTGTCCTCTTCGTCTTTTTGCCGCTAACCCTCTCTCTCTCTCTCCCGCTCTCTCCGACTGGTCTTATAGGAGGCAGTGGCGTGGATAACTGTGCCACTCGTTCACTGCTACCACAAGACTTCCACAGGAGAATCCATGGTCTTCACACTGCAACAGAGAACAGAAAAAATGGTTTGTGTTAGTTAAAGTTGCACTATGTAGCTTTTCTTTATCTTTGCTAAAATCTGGCATAATAACACTATAGTTGTAGATGTTCATCAAAGGGCCCATATTACACGATTTTCTGATCTGTGTTATAATGTTGTTCCCTCATCAGAAACATACCTCTAGTTGTGTTTGGTTTCATTCACACATGTCTAAAGGCCGCCACACACTACAGGGGAATTTGCCCGATTTTGGCTGAAAATTGCGTCTCCCCGAATTCGGAGAAACGTGACCCGACTTTCTGTCTCCATGTGTGTGTGTGGTATCAGTGTGACTCTGAGCTGCTCTGTCAGATTGTAACCACCAAACATCAGCAACACTACAGAAACAGTCAATAAAACAGAGCGTCAGGGCAGACATAGTGACGAACACAAAGACACAACATAAACAGTGAAGTAAATAAAATAGTAAACAGCAAAAACAGTTAGGCCACCTCTTGTGAAGCAGCCTTTCATCCATATTATCCATAGAATTTGTCCTTCACAAATAATAACATCCAGTCCACAAAACAGCACTGTTAATTCAGTTGAAAGAGTTCTTTAAAGTAAAAAGGTGAGAGTAGTTCCTCACGTGTGTCTGTTTACATCCACACAGCGCTCGGACTGTGGTGAAGCTGCAGATTTGCGACAGTGACTCTTACTTCCTGTGGGCTTTCGTTACGTTTACACTGAAATGTATCATCATATCACCGAATTTTAAACAATCTGTGTCCAGACACGTCGATTCTGTGTCCGCAAGCCTTCCCTATCCACACAACTTTGTTTACGTTTTACAGAAACGAAACTTAAAACCACATGGCTAATGAGTGAGTCTGTTCTGTGCTTCTGTCGTGTTGGAGATGGTTCATATTAATATGTATATATTTTCAGAGATTATACATCTGCAGATACACATATAGACTGTATATATGAATGGACATATATTCTAGCTTCTTAGCGTTTTGGTGGTGAATTACTTTGCAGTGCATAGACCTACATCAGCGTCCACACAGTGCCGGATCAGATCTTTTGAACACTTAAGAGTCACAAAGTGAGTGGTTTTACTGTAGACAGAAAACATCTGATGAGATGTAGCAAAACTGTGTATCTTGTAGTACGCAGGTATATCCAGCTGCAGTTTCTGCGATCAGAGATTTAAAATATCCTTGTGTCTGTGGTGTGTGCTTTTTGTCGCATATTTAAAAATTGTTTAAGATAAAAAAAATCCTGTAGTGTGTGGCGGCCTTATCACACATTCATATTTAGGCTGAGTTTGTCTCTCAAACAGAAAACACTCTGTTCCATTTTGTGATGTCATGTGATAATACAGGTGCTCCACTATGTTTTTAAATTCCATACACCTTCACTAAAATAATTTGGATAATTTCAGTCCTGGAATTGCTGGAAGAACTTCCATGATGTAAACAAAAACAAAAAACAAACAAAAAAAATAATTGTGTGTTTTTGAGGAGGTAACAGCATTATAACATGGCTTAAAGTTCACAATTTTTCACAAAATATAGAACCTTTAATATTCACTGTACCATTCAAATAAATAAATTGATGTTTTGTTGCTTTTCAGTTTGTAATATCCCACAGATTCCACATTAAACTTGTTTATCTTCAAAGGGAGACAAGCATGTGACACTTACTGGTCAGATCTGTTGAAAGGCATGTAATATTATTTATGTTATAAACTTGCTAATTCTACAGTTTAAAATTCTTCAAACAAATGTGAAATGCATTTAATTCCTGTATTAATAGTTCATATCAAAAATCTTTAAAGACTCAAACAAGATAAGATGAGATAAGAGAACCTATATTTGTACAGAGCCTATGGGCAAATTTCAGTGTTGCAGAATAAATGCATAAAAAATGCAAGGTAAAAAAACGATAGGATAAATAGATCTTCTCAAATCTATTGCAAAGCTGTCGGTGAAATTCCAATGACATATTTCCCATTATCACAGTTTAATGTGACGTTTGAAAATGTGCAACGTTAACTGTGCATAATAATGTCACCAATGATGCAGAGGGGCAGGCTGCAAGTTGTACTGAATAAGAGAGCAAGGAGGGGAGGCAGGGAGGACCAGCCCGACACTGTTACCATAGCAACATTGAATTCCAAAGTCTGGATCATCGGCATTGAGCGAGAGGGGAAAAGGAGAGGGGCTGGCGAGGGATACGAGCAGAGAGGGGAAGAGAGCCATCACGGCTAATTTCATCTGATTATTGAACGATTTTCAAAGACAGAGAAGTAAACTGCAGCTGTGGCAAAAGATTATAAGAGAACGAACAGTGTAAATGGAGGATTTCTATTCACTTTATGGGTTTCCTGTTTACGCGCACCATTTTGAGGACTTTGGACCATTCAGGAGATAGGATATTTTGTGTTGAATTGTTAATTGCCATGGCAACGCTGTTTATTTTTCATCCCTCAAGACTCACATGCATTTCAAGCACGTTGGTCGAGGTTTAAACTGCATGCTTAGCAGGTTTAAACATCTTATATTTTGAGATTTAAGCCATTTAACCTCTTCAAAAACATTTAATTCACACGTTTGAGTAACCGTAGTTTATTATTCTGTCTACATTTCCAAAGTTCAAAATGCTGTTTCACCTCGCGATATCATGAAGTTGTAGTTTTCAAGCTCCTTTTACCTTTAATAATAATAATAATAATGCATCAGTTTTATATAGAGTTTTTCTGAACACTCAAAGACACTTTACAGA